TTATCAAGCTTTTTGTTTCTTTTAGCTAATCTCTTGCTTCTTTTACTTCCAGCTAGCCTTTCGTTGCTTTTAGCATCAATTGTGCAGTTTTAGCTGCCTCAGCAAATTTCAGCAAAGTCATTCAGCGCTTGGCATTCACACTATTTGTTGAAAATGCAAATTTAAAATGTATCTATATATTTTACTTTAGTTTACCTCATTTATTAATGTTTTTACTTTATTTTACATTTTGTTTTTATTTTTATTTATTTGTTTTCATTTGTCCTTTTTTAATGGAAACATTTTATTTTTACATTGTAATTTAATATTTTTGTTTTTCACCTTATTTTACTATTCTTTTTTTACAGGTCATACATGTATAGTACAAAAGATGCCCTGCAGTTTGACAAAAAGCAATTTCATATAAAGTCATTGAATAATAAAAATGAAAAAAAAAAGTGTCAATTTCTTGCTTCAGTTTTAGAACCAGCTGTTATTAAACTTGTAACCAACTTAATTTAGGGACATAAAATAAAAATTCAAATTTTATTTCTAAAAAACTGGTTGACCAAGGTGCCTCTCAGAATTTAAGTTAAAAAATAAGATATTAAACACACATTTAATAAAATCTAATCAAAAATGGAAACAATTTCAAAACAAATGGCTTATTTAAAAAAAGTCAACATATTCTGCTCAACACCAAACAACTTATCAGTTTAAATGATACAATAAATTAAATAGTCCACAGTCATGATGCCTCTGAAACAGTTTTTTGGGGGTTTGGTTTTAATACAAAACACTGATTTCTGATTTGATGTGTTTAGCTGAGTTGAAAAGTTTAACTAATGGATCAAAATAAAGCACGTTAACTGAATCCTTCTAACTTGATTTTCTTTTGGCTCCATGTTCCCGTATCCTCTCCATCATTCCTTCACCTTTCTTTTACCTCAGCTCAGCTCCTTCTCTTGGTGCATCCTGAGCTCTGGTCCGACCCCCTCCTCCTCCACTCCTTTCCACGCTCCCTCTCTTTCATGCTGTGGCAGCGCCGGGATTCAGTTCAGTGCTTCTTGTTTCATTAAAAGGCGAGGGCGTCCAGACTGAGCGGATTCATCAAAGACAGGCTCTATAATAATAATATGAACAGCTGCATACAAAAATGGATTTTTCTCACTGAGAGGAAGTGATTTCCTGATTATTTTTTTTTCCCAATTTTTGTATTTTATTTTAGTGACCTTCTGGAAATTTAACAATGAAAGCCAAGAAGAACATGCAGGAGTGGATTCATAGTTTTCTGCTTTGTGACCAAGTTGTAGAAGATCAGCCGGACGTTCCTGTCTGTGATTTATTTCTGCAAAAACTAAATTAAAGATATTCTTAGTGACCAAAGACGCGGGGCAGTGAGACGAGTGAAATCCTTTGGAGCTGCAGCAGTTAAACCACAGAGAAGGATGCGGGAGGTGTTAATCAGAAAGGATTACCATCGTAAATGTTTGACAGGATGTACAGTTTCTCAGCTGGATTTACTTGACTAAGTTCAACAACCTCTGGGTGTAATGTGTGAAGTGTTTGGAAACATCTGGAACAATTGTGTTTTCTCCAAGATGAGCCTACTTCTTTGTAATATTCTGCTGGGCAAACTTTGAAAATTCACCATCATGTGCCCCTTTGGTGCTTCACCTGTACGGGGTTCTGTGAAAAGGGGTTCATGTCAACCATCTGGACTGATTGCTCTGTACCATAGTGCCTGGATAGGCTGGCTGTTTGTGGTGTGTGTGGCTGCGTCCCCGTCAGGGCAGTTGGTAAACTCTCTGAGCGCCACCAGACTTCAGGTGGCAACAGACTCGTACGGATACTCTGAGCGACACCCGCTCGTGGCGAGGCACCGCTCCTCTCCATCCATCTCCAGTCACAGATCTCCTGCTACTCTAAAGGGTGGTCACGGTGAGTGGGGGAGCTTTTAGGGCAGGGGTGCCCAGATTTTTTCATGCAAGCCAATTTTAAAATGACCAAGTCAAAGTGATCTACCTACTAGAAGGTCCCGTTTACACGAGAACAACCTCTGGAAACATTTGTGTTTTTGTCAATGTTTATTGAGGGGCATAAGCATAAAATGAGCAGGTTTACATGAAATGCGCTGTAGTTTCCATGTCAGTTGGTACTGTGGCTTTAAAATTATATTTTGACCTAAACTGTCATATGTGCTGAGTAAAGATGTTCTAATGAGGTTGTGTTTGTTGAACATGTGCACAGAAAAGGAGGGGGTAAATAGGACATTTTAAATGTATCTGGCAACCCTGATGCAGGGCTCAGCTGCATTTATTGCACATACGTCTGCAAGACATTTACGTCCAAACTGGTGAATACAATAACCTCTCTTTGGAACTGGATTTTATTATTTTTTTCTCCTACATGCTGAAAAAGAATGAGTAGCACAAAAACACTCCACTCTCTGCCGTTTATTATAACTGTTGTTATTGCAGAAAAACTTTGGACTGCAGCCGCCTGTAGTCGGCATGTGCAACTTCACACTTGGAGCATTTCCCACCTCTGTGGGGATTCCCACAAAAATTTCCACTCTGAGATCTGGAGTCAGAAACCTTCAGTTTTAGAGAAAATGAGAGCTGCTGTTGTGTCATTGAATGGCTGAATGTTTCATGTCATGTAAACGGGGCCTCAGAGTGGCTGCCCTGTCTGTCAGTCGAGTGACAAATTTTATAGATGGATGGTAGGCTGATGTCTATTTTTTTAATGCCATGCAATTTACCCGTAATACCTTTGAGATTGACCGGTAGATGGCGATCGACATATTGGGATGTTTTAGGTGGAATTCTGATGGAATTATGTCATTCTGTGGATGACCTCAAACCATAGCTTCAGAAAAAGGTTTCATAGATTGTAAAAATATTTTTTTTTTCTTTTACTATCATTAAAAAAACAAATAACTGGTGGGTCTTGGTTCTGTGAATGCTTTTGCAATTTTAGGTTAAAATCTAGGCTTTGATAAAGGAGTGTGCTCAACCTGGGACCAGAGCAGCATCCTAAAAAGATGGATTTACAATGATGCATTAGCTTGCTGCAGTCAGGAATAGGACATTTCTTTGAACTCATTTTCTTTTTGTTTGTTTACTGGTTGGATGTCTAATGGTTCCACCACTGCGGTCTACAGTCTGCAAAAGACAATGCTTTTGTCTGATCAGATTAGTGGGTATTCATTAAACTAATCGCTGCAAGTAGTAGTTTCTTTGGCTTGGATGGTATTCTTCACAAACGTCTGACTGATAGAGCGCTGTAGCGAAAGTTTAAACAAACTCCAATATACCTTCTTTTACTGGATGTTAAGCTCTTTAAAGACTCAAAACAAAACAACCAAATAGATAAAAAACAGAAAACTCAAAAGCTTTATATATGTTGATACTTAGTTTGACTCTGCCAGATCTTTGTCTGTTTCACAAGACTTCAGTCTTTTCTGCAGAGGAGTAAAGCAGCACATCCAAGAACAGCACTAACACAACCTGGAGTGGCCCACACAAGATTGTTTAATGAAACTGCCCCCAAGTGGCAGTAACCTGTCAATGCACACCTGCGTAACATGTCCATATACAAACTATCACCAAACTCCTTCCACCACCTTTGAAAAGGTTGAATTTGGTTGGACATTGTGTAAAATGTAAACAAAAAGAATAGGCCAAAACAATTTGCAAATCCCATGAACAGATGTGAACAGATGTGTTTACTGTTTTTCATGGTGAAAAACACATCAAGAAATTGTGCATTTATTAGGAAAAAAACATTATTTTGGTTTTGATGTTACAACTCATAAAAAATTGGGATGGGGGAACAACAGACTGTAAAAGTAATCAATATGAAAAAGAAAAAGCTGGATGAACGTTTTGCAGCTAATTGGGTTAATTGGCAGCGGGTCAGTAAAAGGACAGGGTATAAGAACATTTTAGACAAACTGAAGCTCTTAGAAATAAAGATGGGCATTATTCAATGCATCTGATTACAAAACAGTTTCAGAATAATGTTCCTTAATGGAAAATTACAAGGTCTTTGAATATACCAGCATCTAAAGTTTGTGTCATCGACTGTTAATATTGGATGGGTATGATCTTTGGGGTCACTGCAATAAAAACAGATCTGGTTCTGTTCTGGACATCACTGCATGGGTTCAGGAACACTTCCACAGATCTTTGTCTGTACACAGTCCAAAGAACTCCTGCAGATCTTCTCCTCTGTTCCTAGGTGATTACAGACGGTTGTTAAAACAAATTCACAGTTTAAACACAGCCATGGCCCATCATTTTGCAAAGTGTTGCTGCCATAAGACACACAATACTTTAGTATAAAAAGCAAAAAATGAATGAATTTATCCGAAATGCCCACATTCTACAATCCTGATTTGTCCAAAAACTTTACTAATTTATGCATTTACTAGTTCTTAATATATAGAGCACATTAAGGCAGACAAAGAAAAACATTCTTGAAACATTTTAAGTAAACTTGAGCTGCGTTTAATATTCACAACTACTCAAAGTAAAGTAACTCTCCAGGTCCATGTTATGCTGTTTAACAGCTTTCTATACCTTTATACTAGTTAACATGTCATTATGCTGTAAGGTCCATAATATCTTCAATATCCACAGTGCTGTAGCGTCTCTTAAAGAGTCATGAACATTTTTTAAACTGATATCTCTTTAAACTTGGTCAGAAATGCAGAGGTAGGCAGCTTCTTGTCAAGCTTTAGATGCAGGATATGGTAGAACTTTGGGTTTTCTTTGTAACAACACAGATCTTCATGCACAAAATCATATCTGCATTAATAAGATGTGCTGTCTCCTTGACAAATAAGTACAAAAAGATCATTTTAAATGACAATATGGAAAAAAAATACTTTGGAAATATTTATTCAGCTGAGACGATTGTTAAAAACTAATAAAAACAACTATGTAGTCTCTGAATTTGGGAGTGATTCTTGTTACTGTTCATATTATAATTTAAAATTATCCTGCTCTGCTCAGCTGGAACCACGTACATCTTTGGCAAAGGAGGAGGACTCATCCTGTTCAACTGGCCGGCCAACGAGAGACCGAGCACCAGGACAGACAGACTGACGGTCGGTTTCAGCACCTCCCTGAAAGACGGCATCCTGGCCAGGATTGACAGCGCTCCAGGTCTGGGGGACTATATGATGCTGCATATAGTGAGTACTCCCACTAATTTTGTTCGTAAAAAGTTTCTTTCTTGAAATGGTAAATGTATTGTACTTATATAGCGCCTTTCTATCTTATCAAGACACTCAAAATGCTTTGCACTACAATCTGTGTCCTCATTTACCCATTCATACAGCACTCTACTAGATCTATACAAAACTAATTGAACAAATCATTCTAAAGAGACTAATCAGAGCTTTATCACATTCATACACCAATGGGACACGCATAGGAGGCAATGAGGGGTTCAGTGTCTTGCCTAGGGACATTTAAGCATTTGACTGCCGCTGGATTTGAACCCCTAACTCTTGCATTGGAGGACAACTGCTCTAACCACTCAGCCACAGCCACCTGTCAATAATCAAATATTTTAATTGTTTTAAAATCAACACAAAATGAAGCACCACAAACAGAAGTAGTCCTCATGTCTAACACCTGAAGAGATGTTCTTTCAATTGTGCACCATTCATGTTTGAATATATGCTTCGTAGATTCTTAGTCAGTAGAAAAGATGACAACCACTTCAGAGTCTGGTCAGCCATCTTGAATCTTAAAGTTCAAAGTCTGTGTCCCTCCTCACCAAAGTTGATTTCAAATTATTAAAGCCGTCTTGCACTTGATCTTCTTAAGGCTGGGTATTCAAAAATACACCAAAACAACAATTCAGCTAAACATAGGTATTTAATGACAACAAATGTTTTGTCATTACAGCAACAAGGGAAGATTGGTGTGACCTTCAACATCGGCACTGAGGACATCAGTGTGCAGGAGAGCAGCACCCCGGTGAACGATGGGAAGTACCATGTGGTCCGGTTCACCAGGAACGGTGGCAATGCAACCCTGCAGGTGGATAACTGGTCAATCAATGAACACTTCCCAACAGGTACAACAACCACAGATCATTTTTGAACGTTTAACAGGTCTAGTGAGACTGTGATGTCACTGGGTAGCATCTGCTTTACTGAAACCTCTGTTTGATGGTCGCATTCTTCCAAGTAACTGTTAAACAACCAAGCAGAAAACCTTTTTTTTTAGACATGACATAATAAAATGTTTTAAATTCATGCAATCTTGTTGGGGTCATCAAGTAAATAAAAACTGCGCTTTAACTGTGGAAATGTAATTTGAACCAACTTGGATAATAAATTTGTAAAAGATGGCTCTGAAATTTTTGGCATCTGCCTTTTTGTCATGTTAAACAATCTTATATTTCATAAATATTGAATGCACTCCAACCTAAAGTCCAAAACTACAGAGCATCTGGTCTGATAGATGAAACTTTTGGCACAAAAACGTGTTTATTCTGTTCTTGTTCATGTTTTCTTATATTTGACAAGTTTATGCGGAGCAGAAATCATTTAGCTGTTAGCGTTTGTGGCTTTTGCTTCATTTGAGAAGTTTTTTTCAAGTTTTGTTTACGTCTTTGAAATAATAAATTCAATTACATTTTAATTGTTCTCCTTTGGCCTGCACAGACACAACAGGGCACAGCTTTGCATTTGTGGTATGGAGTTAAGGAAACAATCTTCTAAAAGATATAATCCCTCTTGTGGGATTAAAATGGGTCAGCTAAAACAAGTGGATCTTGTTTCTGTGAAGAAGTTTTGATGAGGTGTAAGGCTATTCAAACAATCTGTTAACGAGTTCAATGAGAAAAAAAAACAATGTAATCATCAGAACCAGCTTCTGCAGGTAAATTTCTTCAGTACACTCTGGCAGCTTTCCCCCCAAATGATCCATTATAAGCACAATATGAATTCCAAGTTGCAAGAAGAAATCCACCCATGTGTCCTTTTCCACCAGCCTGCTCCATCTTCTCATCATTGCTCCACTTCTCCATGGGTGAGCAACACCCAGGAGTCCTGGTGTTGCTACATTAGAAACAATTCTACTGTTCTGGAAAATATTATGTCATTCTGTGTGGACCTTAACATTTCAGGGGGCTGGTGTAGATGAGGCTATGAAAGACTAATCAAACCGCTCAGCCTGTTTCCAGCAGACAGAAAAGGTTTTAGGGGCAGCCTCTAAGACAAAGGACCTCAATTTATTATATCTATTGTACTAGGACTGGTCCACTTTGGCTCATCTCTTCTGTAAAACATCTGCAACCCAGCTGTGAACGTCATCTTCTACTATTTGTTTGACTCTATTGGAGCTGCTGTAAACATCACCGCAGTTTGTCTGTTTCCACCATCGGAGAATATAAACAATTTTGTTACTGAAACACTTTAAGAAAGCCTTGGTCATGACTCATTTCTTCTTGGCCTTATCTCAGTCTCCACTGGAGTAGACCCTGGTTTTATTTTAATTGTTTAAAACCAGTTACGACCACAGCTGTAAGGATAACAGCGAGGTTGTTAACATCTGTAGCTCTGAAGTAACTGACGACAACCAAAGAAGAGCGAAATCTGTCAGACAGAAAATGTTGATCAGTTTCTCTAAAACTTTCAGAGAGCATTTCAGGTTATAGAAACTTTATTGATATTTTAAGATGAATCAAACCTAAGTTCAAAAAGAAATCTGACAAAGGAGTAACTAATTTTAATCAGTTTATTATAGTTTCTGAGTTTTTTAGATGAGTTTTGAAACACATTGGTGGTTTCCATATGATTTGCTTTATTGCTCTGATGTTTGGCCTCAAGTTCTAAAACCTGGATCTTGGACTCGGTCTTGATAGATGCTGGTTTCGGTCTGAACTCATCAGCTCTGGACTTAGTTTAGGTTGTCTTGACCAGAACACAAGCTTCTTTATTAGCTAAATGAAGGTGTGAGCAGAATTGGTTTGTGAACTTCCATATGGGTCTATGGTTTGGTCCTTCCAGGACAACCAACCAATAAAACATTCATTGAATGATTGGTTGGCGGCTTGGTTGGTTGCTTGATTGGATGTCTGGCTGGTTGCTTGGTTGGTTGGATTCTTGGTTGGTTGCTTGGTTGGATGTTTGGTCTGTCAGGACCTTGTTCCCCTGTGAATGGAACAAACAAAGGTTTCACATTTTGTAATAAGTGTCTCGTCAGGTCCATTAATGCACATGCTGTCCAGTGATTTGATAATGATGGTTCTCTCTATTTTTGTATGTGTTGTGTAGTTTTATTTTGTTTTATCTATAAAAAAAAAAGAACCAAAAAAAAACAACAGATAACAAAAAAGTCTAATTAAAATCTAAGTTTTAGCTAAAATGATTCTAACCTTTTGTTGATGTTAACGGAAAAGTCATGTTTTTTTCAGCTGACATGATCCTGATGGTAAATAAATGTTTTTATAAATGTCTTTCTAAACTTTAAAGGGAACAGCGATATTGAGCGCTATCAAACGGCCAATAAGAAAATTCCTTTCAAATATGTCAGACCTGTAGAAGAATGGCTACAAGAGAAAGGTAATTTGAAATAAACGTGTTTTTTTTCTTCTGTGTTCTCACTGTCCTGGTGTTCTTTTGCTTAAATCAAAAATATTTAAATTGGGCCTGTTTTCTATTTTAGCGTTTGGTGATATGTTTGAGGTTTAAAAGCTATGAATCTTGAAAACACTTCTTCTACTAAAGTTTATAGACCAAATACTTCCCATTTAGATGAAATTAACCAGAGTTTTTACTGTAAATGTTGATATATAAACAGGCATGTTTCTGTGCACGAGCTAAAATAGGATCTGTGCCGTTATTAATTAATTATTAATTGCTTTAAATAAACCAAAACAATAAGAAAAAAAAATCTAATGTAGTTGTTATAAAATGTTGTGTGATAGTAGTAGAAAGTTTTAACTTCTCATTTGTTCTCATCCAGTGTCTTACAGTTACTTAGCTACTCAGTTTGACAGGATAAGAAATTGAGATTATTACTATTAAAACATTGTTTAAGATGATAAAACTCAATGTTCTGTCAGCTGCTGTTTATGTCCCGTTCTTATTTTCTTCCCCACTCCTCCTCCGAGGTTTTCTTTGCAGACTGACAAATGAAAATTTGATCCAAATACTTTCATTGCAGGTTGAGAGAGCAGACTCGAGCTGATGAGAAAAAAAGGAATGTCAACAAAAAGTTTGCATTTTCATTTAGGATTAAAAAAAAACCCACAAAGCAAATAATTTGTAGAATATTTGCAGCTTTTGTTCCAAAAGGTAAATTAAGTTTTGATTGGAATTTGCTAAAACAAAATATTATTAATCCTTAACTCTGAGCGGGAGTGAAGGCAGATTGAGGTGGACTTGATAAAGAAGAGGCTTTATTTGGCTCTGACTTGTGACAGAACAGAACCCTGCAGTACAGATCAATGACTTCAACAATCAAACACGTTGACGAAAAGTTATATCAAGTATTTTTAAGTTATTAGTCACTTTATGCAAATATAAGCTTAACTTTTGCTTTTTCTTGTCTTAAAACAAATCACTCAATGCACACATAAAATTTATTAAATGAACAATTTATATTAATGCATTAATTACAACTGATTCAATTTGTTGCACTGCTATTAAAATAGTTTAACCTTTTGTTTACCTGCTTCTTTTTAACTGTGACACAAAACTGAATTATGAAAAATTGCATAATTAATGTAGCAAAATACCTTTAGTTTGATTTGAACTGAATATTTTCATTTAAAATTTCACAATTTTGCAAATGTACAGAAAATGTACAAACTGTTCAATGTGAGTAACATTTGTTTGATCCTTTTTGGTGCATTATTGATCAGATATAGAGTTTAAAGTATGCTGATTTTTTTAAAATATATTTTACTGGATATGATTTTAGAAGAAGTTCCAAGATCGAGTCCTTTTTTGTTTTTTGTTCTTGCATAATTTGAACATTGTGCTTCTTTATTTTTATGTGCACATTTGGTTTTTATGAGCACTTTAAAGGTTAATGATGTGTTGATCTTTAATCATAATATTGCTTTTTTGTGATAATTTCTTACGATGGATTTGTTTTTCAGGACGACAACTAACAATTTTCAACACTCAAGCAACAATCACAGTCGGGGGCAGCGACCGAGGCCGACCATTTCAGGGTCAGCTGTCGGGTCTTTATTATAACGGCTTAAAGGTGTTGAAAATGGCTGCGGAGGCAAACCCCAACATCAGGATTAACGGCAGCGTGAGGCTGGTAGGCGACGTGCCGGGTGTGGCCGGGTCAGCCAAGACCACTGCCCTGTCTCCAGACATGTCCACTACTTTTATTGAAACGACCACGATGATGTCCACCACAACCACACGGAAACACAGATCCTCCTCGACTGTTCCGGTAGGAGTACATTTTTAAACTGCATGCTTTTTATTTTATGTTTAGACAATAGGATGATCTTAACTTTCAACAACTCTCAAAGCCTCTCTTCATATCAGATCTCTGAATGTTCTCGATAAAACCTAAAGTGAAGTCTTTTTAAGCTAAAACATCTAGAGCTGGAGACAAATCAAAATTTATGCTTTGGACCACATGAGTTTCTGCCTCTCACATTTAGGGATATTTTACAAATTGTTCTTGCAGTTGGTTTGATTTTACTTTATCGCTCTCTGCCTGCCTGATGAACCTTAGTGCTCCCTAAAAATGGTGGAAATCACCATAGCAACCAGTGACTGATGAGTTACAATTACAAAATTCAGCAGGTTTGTCCACATTATATCATTCCATCATGGTTGTCTTCACAAAGCTTGTATGATGTGCTCAATTCTGTTGTGATTTCATGTTTAAAGTAATAAAAAGAGCTTAGACAGCTAATAGAACGATGCTTTTAAGTTGGTATTTTCAAATAAAGCATGTTGACACTCTTCAAAGTAAGAGTCCGGCTCTGTTGTAGCTCAAAATGTTGCAAAGGTGAGTCCCATATTACTACAGTGTGCTATGACATCAATTTTTCTAATACATTTCTGAAAAAATAACACCAAGAACATATTGAAAAAAATATTCATGTTGCTGGAAGGAACAATTGTTGAGATACTCGTATGTGCAGTAACAGGAAGTGATCACGAGTGCGCCTGCGCATCACTACAATACACTGAGTAGAGAAAAATTTGATGTTTCAGAGATGGACAAGAGCCAGAGTTCAAATAATATTGCTTCAATAAACAAAAACAGGAAGCTCCCATTTGATGTCACTTCCTGTTTCACTTTGGCTACACCAAGTTCTAAAGAAAATGGGCAAGTTATGTGGACAAAAATGGATAAAATCAAATGTATCATTTCCAATTTTCTTCAGTATTGAGATGTTTTCCTCCACTGTATGTATTTGGATATGCATATTGTTGTCACTTGAAAAGAGAAAGTTCATGTATGCTGGAGTTTCAGGCAGCTGCATTGGTACCCTTCAACATTTCTGGTTCAATTCAGCTGGTTTGAATTATTAGAGAAACAAATCAAGAGGACATTTAATCTGCTACAAGCGGCCCTCATCTCCAACCTAACCCACTTTACATTCCTACTTAATGGTTATACTTTATAACTGAGTTTGAGAAATTTAAAAACAAATGAATAAAAAACGGTAAACTGTAAGTTGACCTTTTTGTGTCTGAGCATCTACATACCTTATTTTTGTGTTTTCTGTTTCCTGTTTTTGTCTCTTCACCCTGGGCGTTAAACGACCGCTGTTCTTCCAAAGAAGCACCCATCAGATGACAACGGGTCTTCTGCAGAGTGTTCGAGTGATGATGAAGACCTGGAGGAGTGCGATACGAGCCATTCAGGTGGGCTAGGTTAGTTTGCATTCGCTCGTTTTCTTTGTGCTTTCACTCATCCGCAGCGGAGGATCAGAGCATCCTCAAAGCATCACGCCCCCATGGTTAGACAAAGTGTAACTTCATACAACAGCCAGTGCAGGGAGGAGCAAATCTGAAGAAACCTGGACTCATCAATGCAAGTAGGAAAATAAAATTGCAGTTTTCTTGAAAGCCTATAGCTAGCAATAGAAAAGCTCTGATATTGTGAGCTACACTTGCACATGGGGTTTCTATAGAAGTGGTTAACATGGTTTCCAGGACACATACAAATGTTGGCAGCTGGAAACACCAACGTAGACTGAAATGTTTCCACACAAAGGTGCCAAATTTGTATGACGGTGAACCATGTTCTCTGCAGTGATGCTGCTAAATGTTCTACATCTTGTTCCAGGTCATTGTGCATACAATTCACTGCTCTTCTGAGTTTTACGTTAAAATAGACTTTTTTTTTGTTGTAGTTGTTTTCAGAAATAATGAATACAGCCTACAGATTACATCCAAGTCCTTTCTGTTGTCATTTGTTTTGTTGTTCCACATTTAGAGGCTTGGATTGCTGATAGAGAACAGATATCATTGAATTTCTGTGTACAATTTTTTTGTATTATTTATTTATTTTTGGGTCATGTTGCTTCTTTATTTTTTTTTTAGTTTTTTAGCTGTACTCATTATTCTCAATTTTTTTTTTATCCAAATATGAAAATTTTAAAATGTGATCACTTCAGATAATCAATTTGAAAGAATTTGGGAATTTCCCTACTTTATAACAATATGTTTTCAACTCTAAACATACATGAGTGATCATATCTGACTGTGTTTTCATGCAATTTTTAGATTTGAGTTTAATTTTAAATGCAAATATCAACTCATTTGACACATATAATGAATTTAAAGTAGACATTCTGTATTTAAATAGCATCAAACTATTACATAAATCAGATTTATAATAATTTGAATCAAATCAAAGATCTTTGAATGGGATTTTTAAAATAAATATAATGAGATTTAAAATTGCACAGGTGTGTTTTCATCCTAATCTATAAATCAATGATAGTTTCTGTGTCATTCTGCTGATTTGCTCATCCTGAAGTCATTCCCAAATTTTTTCAGAGTATGTGAAATCTTGTCATGTAATGGGTTTAAACGTTCCTGTTTAGCCTGAGATTCATGGGGATTTGTGAAGAAAGACAAAGACAGGGCCCCAGTCATCCAGTCATGTGTTTACACAGAAATTCACATCATTCTAACCCTAACATCACTTTGATTGAAAGCTGCATGCTTTGAGTTGTGTGAAAATCTTTTAAGTCAATGCTATTTCCTGGTGTTTTGTGGTTTTCTATTTTTTATTTAGTTTTTTGTCAAGATATCATTTCCGCCTATTTGATAATTTTCCCAAAATGCATTCTTGTATTTTGGTTTCATCGTGCGTGGCATGGAGTTTTGATGGGTGATGACTATTTCCTGACATCTTCTGAGCTTTGTACCCTGCAGTTTGCTTATTTTCTTTACTTTCACAGTCAAAAAAAAAAAAAAAAAACGTTTTCATGCCATTTTTTTTATTTGTTCAAACTGACAAGTTAAAAATCCAACCTGAACACTGATTCAGTCTCTCCTTTTTCCAGACTTCCTTTAAAAAATGGATCTGCATTTGAGTTTTTGTTAATGGCATGAAAATTATTTTTGTCACAACTTCTCGTTTTTTTTTCTTTTAAGGAGTCGTGAAAATGTTTGCGTGACTTTATAATTTTATTGCATGGTTTAACATTTGCTTAAACACCACGTTTCACTTGCTTTCACCTTTTTTTATCTGCTTTTGGTTGAAATTGTAAGCCTTTTTTTTTTGCGGTCGCAGCATCATCAAATCGCCTCGTTTAACTCCCCCCCACGTTTTAATTTGTGAGTAGGGCTGTCTGGTTTGTTTGGAGAAGTCCCCAAGTGATTCTGTTCTTGTTGTTAATTTTTATGTCCCTTCTTAACTTTCAGTTAATTTCATAAGATGGCAACTAAAATGTTTTTTTAAATCATTAGTACACTGCACATTTTGTGAAATTAGATAAGGAAGCAGATAGGATTTTTTTTTTCTTCTTAGACCTGGTTTTGACTCGAGATTTCATTAAAATAACCAAAATAATTCAAATGGAAATCTTTCCCCTGGCATCTAGTTTTGATCTGTGCATTTTAAGGAGAGATGCAAGAAAAAAGAAAAAAAAACATCTGCATTGTGAAACGAACCTCTCGCCATTCCCATAAGCTGTTTAACATCCTGTCACCTGCAAGACAAACCCATTCTCAGTCAAAAACTACTACAAAATGCAACATCTGTTTTTCTTCAAATAATAAGGATGCAGAATCTTCACGAACACTTTTAACACACCCCTGAACAAGAGAAACATTTTATTTCATTATATATTTTATTTGCATAAAATGACTAATTAGCTTAACTAGATTTTTTTTTCTTGAGTACCTGTGCCATCTTATGAAATTACTTTTTTTGATTTTTTTTTTTATTATTTTCTTTTTACAACATGTAGAAAAAACAACTCATGTCAATTTTTGGCAGATTTAAAGCTGGTATCCTTAACATTTTTATTTGAAAAATTATTAAAAAAATCTATATTTTTAGAGGTAAAATTGCAGTAAAATTAAGGAGCCAAATGGGTGCTTGGCACAACTTTTATTCTCAGTTAGTTAGTTTAAACTTCAGTCTTGGTACTGGTGTGAACGTTTTTGTGACCCAAAGATTTTCTAACAGTGCATTTTTTTTTTTTTTACATTAAGACAGATTTCAATCAAAGTTACCTTGAAAGAATAATAATTCAGTTTTATGAATGAATGGATGGATGGATGGATAAATGGAGAGATAAATGGATAGATGGATAGATGGATTTAAGACGGATTGATTTTAAGATTGATTTAAAATGGATTTAAGACAGACTGATTAAGATGGATTTAAGATGGACTGATTTAAAATTGATTTAAGATGGATTTAAGACGGACTGATTAAGATGGAT